TTTTTTAATTTTTATTTAAAATGCAGTCATATTTTTTTGGTATTTTTATAAACTTTGTTTTATATAGATTCGCATTTGTTTCTCAATTAAAATGTTCGGGGCAAATCAAACGTTGCTTAGGCGACAGGTGCAAAGCCGACGCGATTCTCTCCGAAATCGAACTGAGTATAGAACTGTCCAATGAAGACATCGCCCAGGATCCAGAAGTCGGTGTTGATGTACGTGAAGCTGGACATGCAGTAGGTCGTGTTGTACTCGGTAAAGCTGCTGATGTAGGCAGACGGGGGCAGGCTGAAGATGGTGCCGCCAATGTTGAATTTGAGCGTGGGCAACGAGCTCACCGTGGAGCAGTCGACATAGTAATCCCCGTCCATGAGATAGCCGCCAATGACCTGATTGAGCATTGTGTAGGCGCTGCCGGGGCAGGCGAGCAGAGAGGTGCCCGTATCGGCGATCGCCTGACAATTGTAGCAGACCACATAGCCGCCCATCTCGGCGCTATTGACGACGAATTGCCAGTAGCCCTGCTGGACGACCGACACATAGGTCAAATTGCCGCTGAAGAGCTGCGAGTCGATGCCGCCCAGGACCAGCTGGCCTCCAGCCTGAGCGGAGCCATCGCGCGCCAGGTAAAAGCCAAAGGTCGGCTCATCGATCAGTCGCTGCTCGTAGAGGTTGTAGAAGGGCGGCACCACATTATCCACGGCGATGCTCATGTAGCCCATGCCCAGAATGCCGTCGAAGGGCACGCCCGTGAAGCTGCCGTTGGGCTGGGAGATGGCCTCCCCGAAGGTCTGACTGGCAATGCTCAGGCCATTGATGGTGACGGTGTCCGTGGACAGGAAGCCGGTCAGACTGCCCGTACCGTACTGTATGGAGAAGCTCTCGCCATTGGGCACATAGGTGCTCGAGGCACTGGAATTGTACTGATTGTGGTTCTGGCAGGCCACGTCGGTGGACAAGCACTGCACCGAGGGCACCCACAGATTCGAGGAGCCCGTGTCGAAGACCACTTTGAAGTACTGAGGCGGTGTGCCGATGCCAATGACACCATAGTAATCCATGTTCTGATTGTTCGACAGCGTCTCGATCACATATTCGTTGCTATCCTCCTCGCTGCTCGAGTCGTCATAGCTGGGCGCCACATAGTCCGGCACGTAGAGCGCCTGCTGTGGGTGGTATTTCTGATTCAGGGCCCGTGTCGCCGCCTTGTGGTGCGCCCGCGTCCGCTTGTGCTCGTGCTTGTGTATGGGTATGCGATGCACCTCGGCCCCGATCAGGGCTACGATGCCCAGCAGCAGGAGCAGGCTTGAATACTTGAACATTTTCTATTAATTGGGTGTTTCTTTTATAAACTTTCAACTCTTTCGTAGCCTTGACTTGGCCACTCTAACGGGCATTGCGAATGGACTGGCCTTTTATATAGGCCACTGCTGCGATAGGGTAAAAATTTTGCAGCAATGATATCGTTGCGATAAAATTATTTTAAATTTATCATTAAATGTGACATAATTGATAAATCAGTTGATTGATAGTTAGATGAGCATACAGTGAGCGAAAAACTTGTTTGTAAGCATATTTTTTCAGAATTTTTTATAGATAGCCCGAGAACTTTGATAGATTATAGATTTAATTTTTTATTAAATTTGTAGTAATATTATTATAAATATNGATATGCATGTAATTGCCAAAGCACAAGTCTCTAGTATTTGAAATACGCTTTTTACAAAAGTGAGGGTGAGGGGGTGAATTTAAGGGTGGGGGGTAAATTTTAACAAAAACCGAAATTGTATAAATTGCATATAAGCATACATTAAAAATTTGGAGACTCTAGCAATAAAGGTGTAGAAGATATAATTTTATAACTGGTTTTCGATAAGGTTTTTTATCGATAAAAAAAGATCGGGATGAGTTATCGATTTTTAATGATAAACTTGATATGCGCGCTGTAATTACGGACATTTTAAAAAAAATTTGAAGTCTCTAGCTCTTATATCTTCTGAAATCGACGCGTTCATACATACGGACAGACGGACAGACGGACAGACGGACGGACGGACAGACGGACAGACGGACAGACAGACGGACAGGGCCAAATCAACTCAGCTCGTCGCCCTGATCAAGAATATATATACTTTGTGGGGTCTGCCACGCCTCCTTCTGCCTGTTACATACATTTCAACAAAACCATTATACCCTGATTTCCCATTGAAAATGGGTTCAGGGTATAAATATGGAAAGCGTAAGCAAACAATCGACTAGAATGTTTACAAATGAGTTTGGCGCATTGTGATAAACAAATTAAGTTTATTATATTCTCATACATGATATGTTAAGTGATATGAAAAGTGTTGATCATAAATACATTTAAAGACAAGTGAGAACGTTGCAGTCGGGCGATACCGATTGCAGAATACTCATTCACAGCCCAAACGCTATCAACCAGAGTATACATACATATGTACATCCATATGTATGTATGTATGTATGTAGAGTGTAATTTTCTAGTCTAGTGCGAAACAAAAAACAGGGTATGATCCCATTAAAATTGCAAAATCATCGACAGCTTTGCCTTTTATATCTAGTACATCTTAAAGGCTAAGATCTTCAAATTACATGTGTATATAATTTATACAATTTGGATTTGTATTATATTTTGAATACTGGCTCCAAGCTAGCAGCAGATCATGTACACACACTCATCGTATATTCTATGCGTAGAGAGAGAAGCGCGCCTTTTCTCACATTCTTAGAATTTCGATTGATTTCTGGATTTTCTAGCCTTTACTTTAGTTTTTTCAGGTGACGCTCTGTTATGAAGTTATTCTATTTTTATTTTCTTTATTATGATCATATTTCATATATCATATTTCGTTTTTTATAAAATATTATTGGGAAGGTGCGAGCTTGAATGAATGACACTTAATATTTCTTTTTCTGTGTATGCACACATAAATGCGTACTCTAGCATATTCTAAGAATCTCAGTTGCCATTGATTTGTCTTTGCATTGTTTTTGAATTTCCAACCGTTACACTGGCGTTTCTCTGCTATTTGGCGTCATAACAATAATGTTATTTCGCAGAATCATAGAATACAAAAGAAGTCAAAAATTACAAAAATTGGCTATTTTCAAAGAGCTTTTCGTGGGATTTGAACTCGCACCCAAGCCAAATAGCATGTTTGTCAGAATAACTAAAGTGAAGATCGCCGGCGCCTCTGCCTACAACACCGCCGCGTCGTTTCGAACAACAATAATTAAACCGAAATGACATTATTGTTATGACGCCACATAGCAAATCGCAATTGAGATTCTTAGAATATGCCAGAGTACGCATTTATGTATGTGTGCATACACACATACAAATGAGCGCACGTGAATATGAATTAGGGTGGAATGCTTGATGCTATGCGTGCAGACTTACATACGTACATGTGCATACATACATACATATGTATGTATGTATACATATTAATATACATACATACATCTGTATGTACACGCTTATGTATGTATGTATATGCATTTGAGGGCTATTTAAGACTAAGAAAAAGAATAGTATTGGTGCCATTCATTCAAGCTCGCAGTTTCCCAATAAAATATCTATTTAATAAAAAACGAAAAATGAAATATGATCAGCTACTAGCTAAAGTAGAGTAACTTCATAAGAGAGCGTCATCAGACAAAACTACAGTAACGGCTAGAAAGTCCAGAAATCAATCGAAATTCTAAGAATGGGAGAAAAGGCGCGCTTCTGTCTGTACGCATAGAATAGACGATGGTGTGTGCACATGATCTGCTGCTAGCTTGGTGCCTGTATTCAAAATATAATACAAATCCAAATTTTATAAATTATATACACATGTAATTTGAAGATCCTAGCCTTTAAGATGTACTAGATATAAAAGGCAAAGCTGTCGATGACTTTGCAATTTTAATGGGATCATGCCCTAGACTTGAAAATTGCACTCTACGTACATACATACATACATACATACATACATACATACATACATATGTATGTATGTATACCCTGGTTGACAGCGTTTAGGCTGTAAATGAGTATTCTGCAGTCCCTATCGCCCGACTGCAACGTTCTCACTTGTTTTTTTCTGTAATTTTGTATGTGAAAATATATACTTACATACATACCTATGTATGTATTTTATACTTATTTATATCCTGTAGAGACCTTTAAAATATTATTATCATCATTCTAGTCTGTCAGTATAGAAAATGATGAATATTGATAAAGCCAAAATAATATAATTGTAAAATATGTATTTACATACATACATACATATAATCAGTAAAGATAAGAATTTTTGCAGTTGAGCGTTACCGAGTGCAAAATACTCATTCATAGCTAAAACGCTGTCAGGTAAAATTTTCAATTTGCCACGCCCCCAATGGGGCTATATATAGTATATAGATTTTTTATTTTAAATAACAGGACTAAAGGAGATGGGCGTATATATCCGATATGTATGTTATTGATTTTGGTATGTCAACTCGAGCATTTATTGCTAATTTCGAGTCTCTATAATGGTTTCTTAGAAACTTTAAGATATACTTTCCAATTTGCGACGCCCATAGTGGGTGAGTAGGGAAAATCTAGAAGCTATATAGCTCGACACTTTAAGTCTTTTCAAGTCTCTATTTATCTTCATACGGATGGCATGAACAAAACCAATATAGTCACTCTACTTTCACGAATGAGTATAATACGAAAGAAAAGTAATAATTTGTTGTATTAAATTTATTAGACTATGCGAAAGAGAAATACAAAATGTTTGCTATTTAAATGGGAAGTGCTCGTACTTCTATATTTTGGGTGCGATGCCAATGCGCTTGTACTCCATGTCGAACTCCATGTAGAAGGGGCCCATGAAGACATCGCCGAGCACCCAGAGGTTGTTGTAGTCAGTGCCGCTGTCGTCCTCGAGCTCGGCGCTGCCCTCCTCGAGGCTGGTGAAGCCGGAGACGCAGACGTTGTTGAAGCGCACAATGTAGTCCGAGGGCGAGAGAACGAAATCGCGTCGCCCAATGTTGAAGGTGAGCTTGGGCAGGCTGGGCAGACGGGAGCAGGGCAGCGTGTAGACGCCCTCGCGCTTGTCCGCCACCGTCAGGCCGAGCTGGGCATTGATGCTGCGCAGCACCGCCGGTGGCGCCACAATCAGCGAGGTGCCCACATCGACCACGGCCTCGCACTTCTTGCACAGCTGATTGTCGCCCAGCTCGATGCTAGCGACCGTGATCTGCCAGTAACCGACCTTGGAGAGCGGCACAAAGGTCATGCAGCCGCTGTACAGAGTGGGATCACTCGGCCCCAGCAGCAGCTTGCCCCCGGATGGATCTATTTTGCCCGTGTTGTCGCGATTCAGGTAGAACGAGAAGGTGGGCTGAGCAATCAGCTCCTGCTCAATGATGTTGTACATGGGCGGCGTGACGCCATCGACTGCGATCTCCTTGAAGCCCAGCCCGAAGATGCCATCGAAATTGGACTTGTGGAAGACGTTCGGCGGCAGCGTCGTGATCTCCGCAAACGTCTGCTCCTTGATCTCCAGCCCGGCCAGCTTCACGGTGTCCGTGGAGAGGAAGCCCTTCAATATGGTCGGCTGATTGTTGCGCGTGGCGTACTGGATCTGAAAGGCGCTGCCATTGGCCCGGTAGCTGCTCGAGAGGGTGTTGTCGTACCGCTGCAGATGCAGGCAGCTCTCTGGCGGACACTGGATCGAGGGTACCCACAGGTTCGCGGAGGCCGTATCGAAGAGTATCTTGAAGGTCTGGTTGCTGCCGATCGTGATGTTGCCAAAGTATTCCGTATTGTACGCATTGACCAGGGGCAATTTCACGGTGCTCTCATCAGCCTCAATTTGGGTCGACATTAGGCGCAATGGCCCTCGTCTCACGCGGATCTTGAACTTGGCCAGCAGTGCTGGTATTTCGTATTGTAGCAATTTGAATCGATCCTCGTTCCTCGTTTCCCTGCGCAAACTGATCTGATGCGGCCGATGATGCCGCCTCGTGTGTCGCCTCGTCTGTCGCTTCGCCTCGCCGCCGGGCAGCTGCAGCTGCAGCAGCAGCAGCACCGTCAAAGCCAAACCCAACAGCCAATTGCAGTGCATCGTCGCTCGAGTGTGTCTGGCTATTGACCCAAAGCTCACGTATTTATAACAAATACAGCCCAATATATGCCGAAAACTATTTCATGCTGCGGCGTGCAGCTGTTTATCTCAGCTATTTCGCATGCCATGCGAGAGGACCGAAGATCGGCTCAGCTGAAGCTGAGGAACGTGCTGCGGATGCATTTAGGCAATAATTTATTATTCAATTTAAAATAGGCTTTTGAATATATCAATTCTATTTTTTTAAATATTTTTATTTTACTTT